ACTCTGAAGACTCCATTTCCCCCAGCCTTCCTTATACTTAGGTTGGGGGTTCCTCACTTGAATTCTGACCACTGCAACAAGCAGAAGTAACATACGTCATTTCTGTAACTGTTCTATAGATACATCCTGCAATATCCTCTAGTGCTCTCTTCTGCTTGGTACCATATTACATGCTGGAGCTAAAAATCTGGAAACAGCCTGAATCCTGGAAGCAAAACCTATAGGGCATCATATTTAGATGAAAATGTGGGAAAGAAATGCATGTTAATGTTTTAAGCCATTAAGAGTTTAAGGCTTTTTTGTCACTATGCCATTATACAACATGTGATCAAAATACAAGGTGAATGTTGAAAAATATATTACAGTATAAGGCATATTGCCATTAATTTTCCTCAAACAATTTCCTCTTCAAACACGTTTTCCATCATTTATGGCACTCTGGGAAGTCTTCTGAGAATCTTTATAATTGTGATCAAAAATATGGTGAATGCTGCTGCTGAGTGCCATCCAATGGAAAAGCAAACCATGAAAACTTTACGGTGTGTGCTTATTCTCTTTATTCACAGGATGTGGCAGCATGTGACTCTGGCTCTTCCACAAAGTCAAAATGATGAGAAAAGGTAAACATTTTAAATCCATTCAGGAGATCCAGGCAGCCTCAACACCACAAGTAAAGATGGTCACCAAAGAGGACTTCCAGGATGGCTTCAGAAGTGGCAAGACTGCTGAGATAAGTGTGTTCAAAGCAAAGGGAAGCATTTTCAGGGAAATTAATGGCAATGAATGATTTTGAGGGAGATTAATGACAAGTAATGGCAATGTGTCTTTCATTTTAACAATTTTTTAAAAATGTAAACACTCACCATGGTTTTCAATCACATCTCATGTAAACTTTCCTGGCCAAAAAAGACTCAAAGAGAAAATAAAATGTATCTATTTTACCAGTATACATTCCAATACATAGTCCAGTGTATTATACAAATTTACCAGGTAGTATTAGTAATAAACATGGAAAGCATTTTTTAAAAGATAGTCTCCCGAGTATAAGAAACTGAGAGTAAAAAAGACCAAGAAAGAAAGAAAGAAACAACGAAAGAAAGAAAAGAAAAAAAGCAAGCAAGCCCAGGCCAGGGATGTAGTTCAGCAGTGCAGTGCCAGCCTGGCAACAAGCATGAGGCCCTAAGTTCAATTTCCAGTACAAAAAAAAAAACAAAAACAAGAGGGGGAGCCAAAAACAAAAGAAGCTGAAAGAGTAAGTAAGATCCAAAAGATACAACAGATACTGTGAAAAGCAAAGAAACTGCTCAAAGAAAAGAACAACTTGGATGGGAGAAAGGAGAAAAGAAGGAGGGGAAAACTATATATATACATATATGTGTGCAAACAAGATAGCTAATTGTACAGTATTACTAATTTCTATTAGTTCATTGAAATGAACAGTTAGTGCTTATATTGTCTGATCAATTTTGCATGCCTATATCTGGTAACCTGAGCAACTACTTTGAAGATAACAATATGCAGTATAATAACCATTGTTAATTTCCTATCATCTTATTTTGAAATTCTGTATCATTTGTATGGTTTTTTTCTCTTTAAAATAAAACAAAATAATAACAGAAGGTTGGGGATATAGCTCAGTGGCATAGCATCTCTCTGGCAAGGGCAAGGTCCTGAGCTTGATTCCAGGTACAAAGAACAAAAAACAAAAAAACTTCTAAGGCTTTTTAAAACATTAATATGAAGGCTCTCTGAAAAGCAAAATCCAGTCATTATATACCAGCTGTATACTCACTTAAGAAATTAACATACGTTTCTGCCTTTAACGCATTTAGAAAGTACAGGTCATCTTTCCAAGCATTTTCACTGAAATTACTGAATGAATGTGACCACATCACCCGTGTTCATTACAATGAACTGCAAACAGTAACACTTAGTTCATAGAAAGATTGATCTCTAAAGTCCAAAGATGAAAATTCACACCAATGTAATGTACTTTTCACACTTTAAAATCAAGACTGAGAAGATGATATGTGACTATTTTTAAAAATTTTCTTCAGGAGAGAATTTTTGGTGGTTAGTACTCAAATGATAACAATATGCTAAGATTTTGTGTATAATACAATTTAGAATGCAATAATTTTGTCTAAATCTCACAATCAAGTACTACTTATACAGAATTTGGGAAAAGCCCTCCTGAGGACCTGACAAATGGCACTTAAGATCCTGTCATTATTTTTGCATGTAGTGTAAAATTTTCTCGATCAAATTGTTTGAAAAAATTCTTTCCTTTAGAGGTCCTTGAAAGGATATTAATTCAATTCAATAAAAGAAATCATTGTTAAATCCAACAGAATTACTTCAATTCAGTTGCTCCTTATTGGATGATTACTAACTGTTACTTTACAAATATCACTGGGAGCATTAAAAAGATTTGCCATAGAATCAGAAGGTCAAAAATCACCACAGAGAAGTCTAAAAATATTCCTTAAATTTAATTTTTAAATGCAGCTTTCCAAAAATCAAATATGTATATTAAAGCAATCTTGACATCTTCAGAAGTGCATAAATGAATTTAAACCTGTCAATGGCCTACTTTTAATGAAAAAAATTACATCCATCTTTAATTATTGTGAGTCATCTCTATAATGATGCTAAACTGCTCATTTTAGAATTCAGAAATCAGAAATTATGGCAAATTTAGTAAAATCAACTGTCTGGAGGAGGGCAATAAAGTACATACTTCAAGTAAACAAAACATTTCTGTTCAAAAGAGCCTATTTCCATATGTCTTACTATTACTAAGAATTCATAACAGACCCTTTCCCACAGAACAGAGGAATCATAGGAAATACAAGCACAGCACTACGGTAGGTCTATATACCAATTATGCCTAGCTACATGTAATCAAAGCAACTCAAAATAATAAAAGTAATCACTGGGGCAGTATTCGAGATTCATGAATTACCTCAACCTTCACTCCCCTCTCCCTCCTTAGTAAACAGAACACAGACTTCTGTAAATGAGCACACTGCTTCCTAGAATCAAAGATCAAAGACTACAGGGCATAAATGAACATTTGATCAAGTTCAAGAGTAATATTGGATTTCAGGAAAATCTACTTAAAGAAAATGAACTCATATTTGGGGTACTATCTTTTCAAAATTTTTGCCTTTCCTCCTCCTCCTAACCGGCCCTGTATTTGTCATGCTTAGAGCACTATCTGCCTTCATGAACCTTGACAAGAACACATGCACTGGGAGGAAAAAGAAAAGAAGAGCATGGGTTCCTGATGACACCACAGAATTACAAGCACTCCAGTCTACGACTAGATGGCTTCTACATGGGATTGAATGTCTGTTTCTTTTAAACTACCAATTTCCCCCATCATGAGGAGCAAAAGTGATTTTAACTAAGACAATTAGTCACGTTTTAGAAATAATCGAAATAAATAAATAAATGTTCTAGCTAATATGTCATTTGTTATAAATTAATGTGTTTATATAGATTCAGTTTTAATTTTTCTTTGTGCTAGTAACAATACTAAGACTGGGGATATAGCTCAGCGGCACAAGCACCTGGCTAGCAAGCACAAGGTCCTGAGTTCAATTCCCAGTACCAAAAAAAAAAAAAAAAAACCCACAACAATGCTAGTCAGTTTTCTTAAAATACTAATATATCTTGTAAGAAAATCAGCACTGTGGACAATTATTTTCTTCATATTCTGTAAAGGGACTTGTGTGGGAGCATCACTGGGAATGGAACTCCTAAGGAAAATCTCTTCTACTACTCTAAAAATATGATAAATGATACAATGAGAAACACTGTACTTATATTTTCTAAAATAGTTTAGGAAAAAAATAAATAGACATTTATTAATACACTGCTATCATTACATACTAGACATTTTTGTTTAATCCTTATAATAAACATTTTAGGTATTGAGTATTACTCTCATGTTTTAAAAGGGAGCCCTAGAAACGTTAAGTAATTCTTTCATGGTCTTCACATAGTAATTGCAACTTCCAATCCCCAAACTCTTTTCATAATATTCCACTATAGAACAGGCACTGACATGTGATAACAGGAAGAACACTTTCTAATTGTAATTCTTTTGCTATTCCTATTTGTAAGATTCTGTTTTTTAAAATCGATGGGTTCTATGTAAGAACAATGATTACATTTTTTATTTCCAAATAAAAATTACACTAAAATGTGCTGTAAAAAACCAGGACCTTTTTGAAAGCCAAAAGCTCTGCACAACCCTACCTACTTCAACCACATATATGGAAAGGGAAAGCAAGAGCCGGAAGGGCGGAAGAGGAAGGGTCAAACCTACAATGTCTATCTGGATCCGACATAAAAAGAACCCTATATTCCATTACCTAATTGTTTCTCACAACTGTATTATATATACTGGAGCTCTGAAAGCTTTCTTCTTCCTAACCTAGACATAAAAATGTTATTAGTTATAATATTTTGTATAAAAACCAGTACAGGAATCTCTGTTCCTGCTCTCACTCTCTTCACTTCTCCCCTCTATTCACACATTAAAACAAGAAAAACAAAGCGGCAATACTAGTTTTTTTTATTTTTCAAAGTGGGTGACATATTAAGCTCTCAAGCTACAGAGTCAAAGAAAACAAACAAAAAGTCATTGCAATTAAAAAAAAAACCTAGCAGGCATAGCCTCCAAATGTATTGCTGTTTTAAAATTTATATTAGACATGAGTCTGTTTACCATTATATGTGTGTTAGCAGTTGCACTTTATGATAAAGGTAGAAATACAAAGTTTGACATGAAGAAAAGCAATATTTAATGCACTGTCAAGTTAATGAAAATAGTATTTAAGAAAAATAAAGATAAGTGTATTATGAACTACGTTCTGGAATATTATTTTTGTAGCTAACAACAGAAAAATTAACTTTCTTTAAAGCATCACAGAATTTGCTGAACATGATTATTATAATAAAAATGTATTTTAAGTGATTTCAGTACTCACCACCACCTCCTCCAAGCAGACTGGCATTGGCTATTTGAAAGAAAAAACAAGACATTAAATACTATATATAAAACAGAATATGCCATAGTAGTTCAAGAAAAAGCTGGTTATGATCATTTGTCAGAAAATACATATATATAAAATAGATATGTTCATATAAAGAAAGCCATTATTACTATTTTATGGTAATATGAAATTAAAGTATCCTACAGTTTTTCACTCATTTTTTTCAAGTAGCTATTTTTATAACGTACTTCTTTCTAATAAAATAAAGTATATATTGAAATTCTTTTATTCTCCATCTATATCTAAATTAATCTTCTGAATTTTCCACTTTATCAAGTAGAGATAGAACAATACTATCTAGGAAATTTCAGTGATTTCAAAGTTCAATGTAACAACAGAGCATAATGCTAATTTAAATTAAATTAAACACTATCAAACGAAACTATCTCAAAACATTATGCAGTAAGAAACAACTCAAATAATAATGGATTTGGAAAAACAAATAAACTTGATACAATGCTGTGCAATTTCTTACCTATTTATACATTAATTCAGCCTACATATTTATAATAGCCAAATAAGTATAAGAAAATCCCATCTGGATTTTATTCAAGAGGTCAGATTTTCTGAAAGTTCCACTGCAAGTTTTTGTTGAAGTATTTAATAACATAATGACTATGCTTATCTAAATATAATAACCAGAAAACAGAATATACAGTTTTAGCCCATAAAATTCTTATATATCACAGGTATTATTTTATTCCGTTAAAAAAAGATGATCCCACAGCAGTATTAGGAAAGTAGGTGGCAAACAAGTTGTCCTATTTTTATGGATATAACTGAGTAAACCAAACATTAAACAAATCATTTAGGAAAGAGAACTGAAGGTCTTTCACTGGAATCTTTCTGTACTTTCTACAGACTACGTTGGCATTGCCATAATTTTTAAGGAGTAAATAACAGTGCTAATGATTTAATCAACAAATAATGGACAATTTGAAGAACAAATGCCTGTATTCATACTTCCATGATGTTAAATATGTGGTGGCACTTGGTGTGGTGGCACACACCTGTAATCCCAGCACTCAGGAGGATTACACAAAGGACCACTGAGGCAGGAAAGACCACGCCAAGATCAAGGCCAGCCTGAACCAAATAGCAAGACCCTGTCTCAAACAACCAAAACCAAAAGAACAACACCAACCAAAAAAAAAAAAAAAAAAAAATACCCAAAACATGTGATGGCTTGTTGATTACTGTAACGCTAAAAGAATTTCATAAAAAGCATGAAGGAAAATGCCTTTAAGGCTGAAGGTCTCTTCAATATATCAATATTGATCTTCCAAGTACCGTGTTATCTAATTGCTACTCTCGCCTTCCCTTCAATGTTTTTGTCACAAACATGCACAGAGTAGCAATGGCACTAATCAATCAGAAACAACAGTCACTTGTAAAGTCATCTACCACCCCCATCACTGCGATTTCCAGAGACCTCTGCCTACACCATGTAATGGTGTGTACCAGTCATAGAAACTTCCACCTGGGCTTAAAACACTGCCCCAAGTCAAGCTTTGTAACAATGGAAGTGGTAGCTCGTGGAAAGTGAATAAGGACAGATACTGAGAATTCTACTTTGTCTTATACTCCTAGATGAATGAGAAATTTTTTGAGTTCAATCTGTGGTTAATCCAAACATTTTCTAAAAGTATAGCCACATTCATTTATAAAACCACATCGCATTTCACACACTTGCTGATTTTTTTATTTTCTTATTTAACTAAGAACTGCTTCCCTAACTACAAGTTTTCCGGGGTCCCTAACGCTCCATCTGTTCTTCCACTTTCACATACTCATTCATAAGAAAAAACAGTATTTCTAGCAATATAAAATAATAATAAATAGTAGCTCTTCACAAAAATCATCATGCCTGGGAGCACAATAGCACAATACAGCCTATTTTCATCCTGTGTTTTGCTCAATAAGAGTGGTAGTGCCTGTTGGAGAGTACAGTCTGAGGCCCATCTGTTTACCCAGGCATCTGTCCAATACACGTGGGAGGATGAGTGGGAGTTGATGTAGGAACTAGAATTCCAGTCCTGACCAACCGTCAAGTCAGTTTATGTCAAATATGTCCTCATGTCTAGATAAGCATATCTGATTTTAACAATACCACAGAGCTGTTTTATAGAATTTTGGCATTCCACATAGTACACAACTACTTATCAACTCATTTAAAGTGCATTACCATTCCTTGAATAAAATCTTCATTTAAGCTGCTCAATCATACTTAAAGCAGTCCCAATAACTAGAATCCTAATAACAATTTTTGTCAAAGAATCCATCAAATTTAAGTTTATTTTATTCATTTCTGTTCTCTCAAATTTTTAAAAAATTGACTTTATCAGTAAAAATGTCAAGGTAATTTTCTTCAGCATAAGTGACAAAAATAGGCAAATAAAATTGGTTTTTTAACTGTAACTTCGAGTATTATTTTGCACCCACAAGCACTCCAACAACTGATTATCTACCATTTATTGCCCAGATAGATTAATATTTCTCCATTTTAAGAAAGTGAAAATTACTTTTATGTCTAAAATTGAGCATTTAATTCCTACTTGTTTTTAATTAATTGAGATACATCCCAATTAGATAGGAAGATCTTTGAAGACAAGGTCTGTATATGATAAGTTCTCAATATATATTTTCTTATTTTTGTTTTCTGGTACTGGGGATTGAACCCAGGGAGTATTGGGATGCACTCCTTGACTGTTGTTTTTTTAGTTAAGGTTTTGCTACATTCCTGAGGCTGACCTCAGACTTGGAATACTCCTGCCTCAGCCTCCCGAGTATCTGAAAATACAAGTATACATCATCACCCCTCAAAATGCTTGTTTCTACAGTGAGCTAACTGGCAAATTTAGTCAGCTCTTAAATGAACAGCATCACTGTATTATTAGCAACAGCATGACAAAGCTATAATGTATCAGATACATACAACTACCTTCCAGTCTGTGTATAAGATAATCTGTTATCAATATCTATATCTTATACTATATCTCATATTATTTTATCATCTTATCTAGTATCCTATATATTATATTTGTATATAAGTATATATAAGTGTATGTATATCTGTATAACCATGCAATAATCGTTCTATTTTCTTATACACAGTATTCTTTTTTATACTGAGTTAAACACTGTGCTATTTCAATTACTAAATAGCTTGGTATTGCAAAGAATTCATCTTTAACTATTCTATTATCTTCTCTCATCAGAAAGTGCAGAATAAACCAGGAATGTAAACAGGCCCCAAACTATTCTAACTCATTAAGAGACCATACCTCCAATTTCTGAAGAAAAATGTGGACTGACTGTTATTAGTACACGCTTGCAGAACACAATGATATTCACTGTAGGTGATTGGTACATGTACACAGCACATTTCAATTCCCTTCTTTTTCCCTTTTCTCCACCACTTTTTCATTTGCCCAGCATCAGATTCACTTATTTATCTGATAAGACCATATAAACTACCATATAGACAGATTGAAAACCAGTCTAATAGGCCAAAGAATATATAAAACATGTAAGACAACTACACTAAAGTATACTTTTAGATGAATTTTCCACAATGGAGTGCAGTATTTTTCTTTTGCTTTCTCTTTTTCCTATTTTCTGCCTCTTATTTTGTAATATATATAATATATTTTCATATACTTTATATATGATTTATAAATTTTATATATTTATGAATAATTTATATTTTATATATGCATATATAATTTATATATTATAATTATATGTACATATATTTTGTTTTGTAATATATATGTACACATATAGCTTTTCATGTAAGAGAAACCATGTATATTTAAGCTTGTGTATCTGAGCTACTTTGTTTAATATTAAGGTCTCAAAGTGTATCCATTTTCCAACAAATATCTCAAGTTTATCCATTTTGTGTCAGAGTAATACTCTATTGTATATAAATATCACATTTCTTAATCCATTCATTTTTGATGGACATATAGGCTGCTTCAAGATTTAGCTATTAAGAATTGTACTGTTATAAACATGATATACAAGCATCACTACATTATGATGTCTTTAACTCTTTGGGAAAGATACCTTGGAAATCTTTAACTCTTTTGGGAATAGCTAAGTTAAATGGAATTTCTACTTCTAGTTTTTTGAGGAGTCATCATGCTGATTTCCATAGCGGTTGTGTCAGTTTACAGTCCCACTAACAATGGAGAAGGGTTCCTCTCTCCTTACAGCTTTACCAGCATTTGTTACTGGTTGATTTCTTGATGATAGGCATTCTTTCTGGAGTGAGATGGAATTCAGCGTTGTTTTAATTTGCATTTTTTGAATGATCCACAACACTGAACATTTTTTCATGTATTTATTTGCTGCTTGTATTTCTTCATCTGAGAACTGTCTACTCATTCAGATGGCAATTTTTTAATTGAGTTTTTAAATTTGGGGGTTCTATTTCTTTGAGTTCTTTACATATTCCAAATATAAATCCTCTTAGGAGTTGTCTCTTCACTTACTAGTGGTTTCCTTTGAAAAATATGCACTCAGTTTAGAAGACTGCTGTGATCAATTAATAATCTTGGTCATGGCCAGAGTTGTCTAGGAAACATTATAATGAGGGCACAAGTACTCGTGTTCAAGTCTCCAGATCATCTGTTGTCTCTCAGAATTGACAGTTTTTGATGCCATGAAACTCTATTCAATAATCTTTTTTATCTTTTTCACGACTGTATTTTTGACATACATAGTGTTCACATTTATCACAGGCAATTTGTACCTGTACATAACATATCTTAATTCTTTCTTCACACTCCCACACTCTCCCTGGAACCCTTATTCCCCTTCCCATTTACAAAAGTTTTGTTTCCATTTTTTACTTCTAGTCTTTGTTTATTTAATCCCATTTCCCTTCTCCTCCCTTTCTTTCCTTCTCATTTAAACATGTTCTTCCTACTTCCCAGTATCTATCCTCTGTTGTGCTC